AAAAAAAAAAAAAAAAAAAAAAAAAAAGACCTTAGCTAGACGTGAAAATAAAGCCCTAAACTGGGTGGTGGTGAGGCACACCTTTAATCCCAGGCAGAGGCAGGAGGATCTCTGTGAGTTCAAGGCCAGCCTGGTCTATAAGAGCTAGTTCCAGGACAGGCTTCAAAGCTGCAGAGAAACCCTGTCTTGAAATACAAACAAACAAACAACAAAAAATAAAAAAAGAAAGAAAATAAAGCCCTAATGACAATTTCCCTATGTGAAATCCCAATGCATGAAGCTCACAGACAGACACAACAGTTCTTACATATATTATTAGTTTCAGATAAGTAAATAATGACAAGAAGTCGGGCAGGAAAAGGGACAGTAAATATGACCCTCATAAACAGTGAGACTAGCTGGGTGGTGGCGGCACACTCCTTTAATCCCAGGACTTGGGAGGCAGAGGCAGAGCTCTGTGACAAGGCCACAAGAGTGAGTTCCAGGACTGGCTCCAAAGCAACAGAGAAACTCTGTCTCGACAAAAACTAAAAAACACTAAAAGAAACAGCGAGACTAGAGTGCTTTCTACACGCTGTTTCCAGAGAGGAGGCAGCGGCAGCCATCTTAAAGAAAACAGCTACTCAGGGATGAGCAAAATTGATAACCACCTGAAAAGATGAAAACGATATGGCCTCTGTGAATAAACAGGTATTTTTATGAATTTTAAAAGTTAATCAGAATTTAATGGTTTTTAAGAACACTGCAAATCAAAGTCCTTTAATAAATGCTACCAATAGAGGAACTTTTGGTCATATATCCCAGGCCAACCGTTCTTTAATTTTAGTATATCAACCTCTGTTTAATGTTCTGCTGTCTTTAAATATCCCCAAATATATAAGTCTAGAACTTCATGCCACTAAAGTGCTCAGTTAGGAGTCTAAGATTATGCTGTACCACAGAAAGACCGACACTCATGTGCGAAGAAAGATAGCAGCTTCCAGGACAGGCAGTAAAACAAGGAAAAACCAATTAAGTCTTGCATGTGTCTCCACATCATTGCTTCCCTGTCTGAGGAAAGGAGCCTGCTCTTTTGCTAGGTCATGTGGCTGGAATCCACTTGGTGTTCTGTGTTGAGAGGCCTAGAGTTCCATAGTGCTCTCCGCAGCAGTTGGGCGAGGTGGCTCTGAGGCTGGGTAACCTGTGCTTTCAGAGAAGCAGGGAAGGGCCCTCTAGGTATACTGCAGTTTCTCAGAAATGAAGAGTTCATCAAAGCAATGAATAACGGAAAAGACTTGTCTTCTTAGATAGGTTTTCTGTTATTTTCACTGGCCCGCCTGCTCCTGATGAATTGCTGTCATGTTTTTCTGTTGAGTTTTGTCATTATATCCCATTCAAGTATAAAAAATGCCTCTTTAAATTTGTGCTGGATTTTGCACTTGTCTCCAAAAATTTAAAACCATGGTCAACTGCTAACTTCTCCCCTCTTTTTCTGACACTTGTCTTTTGTCATTCATATCACATTTGTTATCCAGGATCATTCTTTATTTTTTTTTAGGATTTATTTATTTATTATGTACAGTGTCTGGCTCCATGTATGCCTGCAGGCCAGAAAAGGGCACCAGATCTCATAGATGGTTGTGAGCCACCATGTGGTTGCTGGGAATTGAACTCAGTGTTCTTAACCCCTGAGCCATCTCTCCAGGCCCCAGGATCATTCTTTCAACATCTGAAGAGGCATGCTCTTTAGTGCTTCTTATCCAGTTTTTAATATTGTCAAAGGACTTTTTATTGGTGATGTCATAGACAAGCATAATTCCCATGGCTCCTCTATAGTATGCTGTTGTGATTGTTAGGAATCTTTCCTGACCTGCTGTGTACCATATCTGAAGCTTAATTTCCTTTCCATTGAGTTCTATTGTTCTCATTTTAAAATCAATCCCGATGGTGGAGATGAAGGTGGTATTGAAGGCGTCCTCAGAGAAGGGGAACAGGAGGCAGGTTTTACTAACACAGCCAGAGTCGGTGATCAGCAGCAGTTTGAACAGATAATCGTATGTCTTCGCCATCTTCTCGCTCTGGCCCTCTCTGACCAAAGAAAGCAAGGAGGAAAGAAGGTGGTGGAAAGAGGCACCGAGGGGGCCTTGGGTGAGGGGGCGTGTCCGCCGAGCCACCTGCAACCTGCCCTGCCTCTTCCTAGTTATTTTTTATATAACTAAACTCCACTACCTGCAGGAAGCAACCCAAAGGGTACTCAAAGGAATGAAATCTGGCAAATGGATGTGTTCCATTTTGTATAATTTGGAAAATTAAAATATGCACACCATACCACTGATACCTATTCAGGTTTTCAATGGGCAACTGCTTTGAGTTTGGAAAAGGCTGATTTGGTAATCATACGTTTCCTAGACGTTATGGTCATCAAGGGTAACCTGCACAAATTAAGAGTGACAGTGCTCCATCCAGCATAATCTCTAGTAAAATCAAAGTTTTTTTTTTTTTTTTTTTTTTTTTGCTTATTACATATAAAGCACATTAAAGGTATACCACAGGCTGGGTGTTGGTGGCGCACGCCTTTAATCCCAGCACTAGGGAGGCAGAGGCAGGTGGATCTCTGTGAGTTCGAGACCAGCCTGGTCTACAAAGCTAGTCCTAGGACAGGCTCCAAAGCCACAGAGAAACCCTGTCTCAAAAAACCAAAAAGAAAAAAAAAAAAATAAAGGTATACCACATAATCCTACAGGGCAGGAAGTTATAGAAAGACCAAATTGAACTCTAAATAAAGACACCCAGAAATAGACTGCATAATGACTTACTAACTTTGAATTTGCTAAATGCTAATGAGAAAGGAACAACAACCGCAGAAGGACATAATTATCACATCTATTATCCAATGATATTAGAAAAACTATGGAATTAAATCAACCTGTCTAATTTAAAGATGTGCTGACCTCAGAATGGAAATTTTGCTTTTGTTTTCACAGAAGAAGAAGATATGGACACCACCAAAATTGATAAAGATTCAATCTGAACATGCTAGCTCATAAAACAATATGGCCATTCAATCTAATCTATAAAATTAAATACTTTTCATTTGATCAGATATAAATAGCCAACAGGGAACTTTCCCAAAATCAGGGACTGGAGAAGGGCTATGTTTTTTGTCTTTTCAGGAGAATGAAGGAATCCAGCTAAGGAATCTGAAGACCACTGGACCAATGAAATGTCGGGGTGGAGTGGGGGAAAAGGACAAATCACCCCCCGCCCCAAAATAGAAAAAGAGTAAATTAGCCTTTTGGTATTTCACATTTTCAAAGGATAAAATTTCATAAACCTTCCCAAATATCCATTTCTGCTTTTCTCTATAGACTTATAGTGCAAATGCTCTTTTTGTAGTACCAGTATAACTGATATTAACACTGGCTTTGGAGTTGGGATGTGGCTCCCAACTTTTCTAAAACCAAGCATGCTTGCTTATTAAAATAAAATGTAAAATGTTGGATTTGAGTCAGAAGAGCCACCTAATAGGGGACAGAAGAAAAAAAATTAGTTTATTGTCACTAATCACATAATCCTTATATTCTGACTCTTTAAAGCTTTTCTTTAGGCATAAACATTATCTCAAAACTTATAAAATTAATATACATATATTTAAAACATTTTTGTCATGATATTAGTGGTCATATAAAGTACTAATTTTAGAAAAAGGCTTCATCTAGCTTCCTGTAGCTGACTTCAGGTTTGAGCCTCTACCAGGTAACTAGAAATTAAGCTTTTGTACTCTGGATGGACATAACAAAGTATGGTCCTTTAATCTCTTTGAGATCTGCTGCACATAACATTTAAAATGTTTACGTTTTCTGCAGTGAACCAAGACCATGCCGAATAGTGACCTCTGACGTCTCCAAAAGGGAGGACGGGGGCCCCACAAGGATGAGCCCACCAAGACTACAATAATACTGCTAAGATGACCAACACCAGCAACTGCTCATACTGAAAATTTTTATTTTATTAAGATCTCCCTCCCCTCCCTCCCCCCAGGTATGTGTTTGTGAGCACACACCATAGCGCATCTGTGGAAATCAGAGGGCTGCCCCACAGTGCCGGTTCTCTGCTTTAATGTATGTAGTCCTGGAGATAGAAAGGGAGGTTTGGAAACAGGTACTTTTAGTAGATGAGCTGTCTCATTGGATTCTGTCCCACCACACCAGGGTTTCTCTGTAGCCATGGCTGTTCTAAAACTTGCTTGGTAGACCAGGTTGGCCTCCAACTCAATTCACTTTTTTCTGCCTCCTAAGTGCTGGGATTAAAGGCACGTGCCACTCTGCCTTGTGACTACTGACTTTTAATACTGAGATAAACTACAAAAATTTTAAGTGGAGACTGGTCCTAAGAAGAGGAAACAAACTTTCCATTTATTTGTTTGTTTGTTTGTTTTTGAGACAAGGTCTCACTGTGTTGTCCTTGTTCCCTAGAAGCAGCTGGCCAGGGCTGCTGAGACGGCTCATGTGGGTAAAAGTTGAGTGTCTTGCAAACCTGATGACCAGAGTTTGATCCCATGAATATATGGTAAGAAAGAATCAACTCACCACAGGTGTCCTTTGACCTCCACATGCATGCTGTGGGATGAACCCCCCACACACACACCACACATGATACACATTTTGAAAACCATTAAAAAGGGCTGGAAGCATGGCGTAGTGGTCAAGAGCACTGGCTGCTCTTCCAGAGGACCCCAGTTGAATTCCCAGCACCCACATGGCAGCTCACAATCACCTGTAACTCCAGTACAAGGGAAACTTGATTTCTTCTTCTGGCCTCCACATATACCAGGTGTGCACCTGGTGCAACGATAAGACACATAGAAGAGGACAGAAACTGGCCAAGGGGGTCAGGCTACATGCCAAGAAGGGAGGAGACTTAAGCAGCGTTGTCCACTTGTCACTGGGGTGAAGGTAAGAAAGCTATAAGACTGACAGAGTCGTGGAGTGTTCTGTGATTTCAAGAGCAGCTCTGGCTAGGGAATGTGTCTTACAAGAAGGCCCCTGAAGGCCAGTGTGTTAAGCTGGGAAGATGAAACCTAAACCGAAATGGAGACTCCAGGACCATGGGATACACACCAGAGAGAGGTGTGCGTGTAGAATCTAAGTGTGCTGCCTGCCGTAGAGATTAAGGGTTGGTGCTACTCAAGCCTTTTGTAGCCCAGATGATTATACGATGAGCCCCCAACGATGGAGATGGAACTATGGGATTTAGTGTTTGCTCTGCTAAATTTTTATTTTGCTTTGGTGTGATTGTTCCTTGTTATGCCTGAGTTCTTTCTTCTTAAAATAGGAATATTTACTCCGTGCTGTTAAGTTGAAAATATGTCTATGTATTTTTTTTTTAATTTTATTGGAAACTGATTTTTTTTTTTTTGAAATGAGGTCTTACTGTATAGCAATAGATAGTCTTCTTCCCAAGTACTGGGATTAAAGGTTATGTGTTATCACACCTGGCTAGAAACTCACTTTTACTTTTTTGAGAGAGGGTTTCTTTGTGTTGACCTAGCTGTCCTAAAACTCACTATGTAGGACCAGGCTGGCTTCAAACTTCAAAATACACCTAGCTCTGCTGAGTGCTGAGATTAAAGGTGTGTGCCACTAATGCCCAACTAAAAACTGACTTAATGTGCTACAAATTTTTTTTAAAAGATTTATTATGTATACAACATTCTGCCTTGATGTATGCCCGCATGCCAGAGGAGGGCGCCAGATCTCAGTACAGATGGTTGTGAGCCACCATGTGGTTGCTGGGAATTGAACTCAGGACCTTTGGAAGAGCAGCCAGTGCTCTTAACCTCTGAGCCATCTCTCCAGCCCCCTGTGCTACAATTCTGAAAAACTTTGCAGACTTCTAAAGATGGAGTGAATGTCCTTTACATTATAATATGGTAATGAGCCTTGGGCAAAAGTCAAGTGATGTGTGTATAGGAGTCAAGTTGACAAGTGGTAGAGTTATGACATTAGTATTAATTTTCAACTTGACAGAATGAAGACTCATCTGACCGATGATGAGCCCTTAGGCAATGCTTGTTGCCTAAGGATTATATTGATTATATTAATTTAATGTGGAAAGACTAATCTTAATTGTGGGTAGGACTGGACTACACTCATGGTAGAAAGTGAGCCAAAATAAGCCCTTTCTCCCTCATGTTGCTTTTCCTAGGGTACTTATCTCAGCAGCAAAAATAAGATAGTAATTAATTTCTAAACAGTGAGGTGAAGACTGGGAATGGCATGCAGTTTATAATCCCAGAATTTGGAAGATAAAGTCAGGAGGGCCAGTAGTTTAAGGTCATTGCTTACCTTTATGCAAGACTTTATCTTAACAACAAAAATAAACTCCCAAGCAAATAAACAATAAAAAGAAAGATCTATCTAAAGAATGTCCTTGATCAATGTCTGCTTTAAATGATGTCCCAGGAGAGCCCACTCAAAATTCTCATTTGGAAGAAAAAGAATAATGCCCGTTGCTTGGCTAATTCCATGATAAAACAAGAAAAGCAGGGCTGATGAGCAGATCAGTGGCAGAGTGTATTTCCCCTCCCTCTTTCCTTCTACCTTTCATGCAGAGCTCCAGGCTGCTCGCTAATTCACTGGGTAGCTGAGGATCTCCTTGAGCTTCTGATCTTCCTGCCTTCAGCTTGAGTGACAAAGTTACATGCATGTTCTCTGCCTAGTTCATGCTCCTGGTTCATGAAATACTTATGGGGATCCAATCCAGGCTTTATATTTGTTAGGCATACACTCTTATCAACTGAGCTACAGTCCCACATCCTTGGTGAGAAGTACTGGGAATGTCTTATAAATAAATGATAAAGAACTTGAACCCAGTAGAACTAAGAACAGAAGCACTTCACCTAAATTAAACATATATAGTTTATTATTCTTACCAATAAATTATGTGGACTCAGTACTCACCAACATGAATTGGTGCTGGGAACAATCCATATTCATGCTCTCCTGGAGTATATTCCAGCTTCTCTTTCTTTAACTGGATTAATCGGCTCTTTGGGCTGTGATGAGAAAAAGAGTAAGAAACAAAGGCAATTAAATTTCTTCCTGAGGTCAAATGAAAACAAATTATATCTGAAAAGATGATTCAGTATATAAAGGCACTTCCCATCAAGACTGACAACCCGAGTTAGAGGCCCTGGAAACTATATTATTAAAGGAGAATTAACTTCTGAACACTATCTTTTCCTTCAACATGCATGTATGCTGGCCCCTTTTCAATAAATAAACAGAAAGAAAAAATGTATCTAATAATGTACTTAAAAAAAAAAAACAACCTGGGGTTAGAGAAATGGCTCAGCAGTTAATAGCACTGCCAGCTCCTTAGAGAGGACCTGAGTTTGAGTCCTAGCACCCGTGCCTGCGACTGGTAAGGACCTGGCAACCTCTGTCCTCTGCATATACTCTCATGTACCTTTGAGCACCCATAAATATGAACATAAATAAAAAAATCTTAAATTCTGGAAATTCCCTTTAAAAAGAAGTTCTTTAATATTCTCTAACAATTTTATTCATTCAACAGCAGCCCTGGCTGTCCACGTGTGACAGTCTGTAGCCCAGACCACCTAAATTCAATCCCTGGAGCTTATGATGGGAGGAGATATGATGGGAAGAGAGAATTCAAAGCTCAAAGTTGTTCTCTTTCTTCCACAAATACACAAGGTCACTTATACTCATGCATACACATCATACAAAAACAAAACAAAAAGATTAATTAATTAATTTTATGTGTGTTTTGTTTGCATGAACATTGGTGTCACACAAATGCCTGGTTTTTGCAGAAGCCAGAAAAGGGCAATGGATCCCCTGAAACACCATGTGGGTGTTGGGAACTAAACTCAGGTCCTCTGCAAGATCAGCAAGTGCTCTTAACCACTAAGCCATCTCTCTAGCCATTGAAGATATTTTTTTTTGAAGGGGGCGGGGTTGAGACAGGGTTTGTCAGTATCTTTGGAGTCTGTCCTGGAACTAGCTCTTGTAGACCAGGCCGGTCTCGTACTCACAGAGATCTGCCTGCCTCTGTCTCCCAAGTGCTGGGATTAAGGGCGTGTGCCACCACCGCCCAGCTTAAAGATAATTTTTAAATGAATTTATGATTTATTATCAGTATATGTTGGGTTTTTATACTGTTTGGTCCAAAGTGAGTCCCCAAAGTAGCAGTGCTGATGACAATATTGCTAACAGAAGCTCAAACTTCCCTATCCCTCATGATTCTCATAAGGGAGGTCTGTTTACCAGCTAATTCAAACAGCCTGCACCCTGCTATCACAGAAAATACTTTCCCACAAGTTGCTATTCTCTGCCACCAGAGATAGCCTTAGCATTTTGATTCCCAATAATCTGTCCTTATACACACAGAGTAGCCCAGTTTGGGGGTTTCACTATAACCTCTCTGACATATACCTCTTTTATATGTATACATACCTGGGCCATGGAAATTGTTCTTGGGTAAAACAGGGTCATGATTGTAAAGAGCAGCTGTGCCGGAAACTCTACAAACACACCAGACCCCAAGGGCTGGGGCTCTTAAATTTAGTCTTCTTTCAGTTTTATACTTTTCTGCTATGTTCAGAGCCTCATAGCCAGGTTTCTTTTATTTTTTGAGACAGGGTCTCACTGCAATATGTAGCTCTAGCTGGCTAGGAACTTGCTATGTAGGCGAGCTTCAAATTCACAGAAATCCACCTGCATTACTCTAAAGTGATAGGATTAAAAAAAAAAAAAAACTTTAAAATTACCCCCTGAACTACTTGGCTGGCTAAGTGACTGTTTCAGGTTTTTGTTGTTTACATTTTTAAATAAAAAACTGAATTAAGGCCAGATGTTACAGCTCATGCCTTTAATCCCAGCACTTTGACTAGTTTTTAACTTTATATCATGAATACCTCCTTGGTGTTTAAAAACCCACACCCAGCTCAACGATGTTCATAGCAGCTTTGTTTGTCATAGCCAGAACCTGGAAACAACCTAAATGCCCCTTGATCAGAGAATGGATAAAGAAAAAAATGTGGTACATTTACACAATGGAGTACTACACAGCAGAAAAAAATAACGACAGCTTGAATTTTGCAGGAAAATAGATGGAGCTAGAAAACATTATTTTGAGTGAGGTAATCCAGCCATAGAAAGACAAGTATCACATGTACTCACTCATAGGTGGTTTTTAAACATAAAGCAAAGAAAGCCAGCCTACAAACCACAATCCCAGAAAACTTAGACAACAATAAGGACACTAAGAGAGACTTACATAGATCTAATCTACATGGGAAGTACAAAGTAGAAAAAGATAGCCGGGAGGTGGTGGCGTAAGCCTTTAATCCCAGCACTCAGGAGGCAGAGTCAGGCGGATCTCTGTGAGTTCGAGACCAGCCTGGTCTACAGAGCTAGTTCCAGGACAGGCTCCAAAGCCACAGAGAAATCCTGTCTCGAAAAACCAGAAAAAAAAAAAAAAAAAA